AAAAAAAAAAAAAAAAAAAAAAAAAAAAAAAAAAAAAAAAGGAAATAAAAAAGTTGTAAATGAATTAATTTATTTGATTGAGATACTTGAACGACGAGGACTACTTCGGAGGATTCGAGGAAGAAGATCTAGAGCAGCTATTCGAAGCAATGCAATCGAACTACAAGGCTTGGTGCTCGGGGTTCGCCCCGCTAGCCGTGGGTGGAGACATGGACTCAGTGGCAGTTCAAGAGTTCAGCCGAACCCTGTTCAACATGCGCCCCGACATAGCCCTCAGTGTGGCTCAAACCATCTTCCAAGCTGATATGAGGAGCATTCTCCCCCTCGTCACCGTCCCCTGCCATATCATCCAAAGCATGAAGGACATGGCCGTCCCCGTCGTGGTTTCCGAGTACATCCACCGCAACCTCGGCGGGCTCTCCATCGTCGAGGTCATGCAGTCCGACGGCCACTTGCCCCAGCTGAGCTCCCCTGATGTTGTGATTCCGGTGCTTAAGTATTAAGGACAAGGCCCACGAATATCTATTGTCATACCTAAAGGTTTAATTATAAGATTGGGAGCCAAGAAATTGCAACTAGCTTTAACCAGCTTTAACCATTTGTATCCAAACTAACTAGCTTTAACCATTTGTATTCAAACTAAGGAATGTCTAATCTCATGCTCAAAGGTTTAATTCTAAGGTTGAGAGCCAAGAAGCTGCCTGCCTCTGAAGTCTCTTTCGCCAAATTCTTGTGTTTTTAGAAATTTGTATGCTAGAGTTAATCAAATAATGTTGAGCATATTAGGAACGTCAACCTTCCACATGTTGAGAATTGTTGGGAGGGAGTCCCACATTGACTAGTTTAGGGAAGGATCATAGGTTTATAAGTAAGGAATACATATTCATACCAATGGAGAAAGTGCTTTTGGCTTTTCCAAAAAGTCTCATACCTATGGAGATAGTGTCGTTCACTTATACACTCATGATTTTTCTCTTATTTTCCCAATATGAGACTCCAACAATCACCAACAATCCTCCTCTGGAACAAAATACGAACAAAGTATATAATACAAAAGAAGTGTGATTGGTGCAGCGTTACGATAACAAATAAACTATTGCGGAGTTCAGTCATCACCAATGATACCGAAAGACATGATGAATTCTCCAAAACAAGAGAGCTCAAGCGAGAGCACCACAACAGATAGTAGATCAAAGAAGTTTCGTTCTCTCGCTGAAATTTGTGTACATACACTTGAAGAATAATTAGATTCTGACGAGCTAATGTTGCTTGTTGCCGAGGAGCTAACAAATTATCGTGAGGCAACAATTAAGATAGCGTGGTAGGAGACCATGCAAAAAAAAAAGCTTGAATCCATTGAGAATAAACAAAATGTGGGCCACTTCATTGACCTACCACTCAACACAGGTCCATCTATTTGGTTTTTGTACTGGTGGCTAGACTCTGTAAGGCTAATTCATGCTCTCATTGCTCAACACACAGGTGGGAGGTTCATCACTTGGACGCCAAATCAACATTTTTAAATGGTGACCTCCAAGAAGAAGAAGTGTATGTGGCCCAATCTGAAGGTTTCATCAACAAAGAGAGCACAGTATACAACTTGTCAAAAACTAAATCAATTACAAACCAAACCAATATATTTGACTTGTTTAGGAGTAAGTTTCAAATTTAGGAGATAATGTCTAAATATTTTAAATCTAGAAAATCATAAAATGATAAAAGATAAGAGAACTATAGTTCATATTGTCTAGCCTCGCCTCTACTACAATACGCCTCCACCCCTGCTAAGTTTTTTATTCCAAGTAAAGCAAAGTGTATAATATTCTTCTAAATATCTTTTATTCACTTTTTGAATGGTTTTAATAAAGAGGGGAAGTCATTCCCACAAAAGAGTTGGGTTCAACGATCTTTGAAATTCACTCTTAAGTTATTATTTTTTATTCGGTTATTTGTTTCCGTGCACTTTGACCAAAAGTCAAAACCAATATCTAACCTCCGGTGGAGTGCTTTTGAATCATTTGTTTCCTTTACTCTTGATGAAAGGCAAATAAAGATGGGAAGAGTGGTCAAGTAGGATTGTTATGTGCTATCCGTCTCTAAAATACGGATTATTGATAAGCTAAGCAAAACTCGATTGGTTAACCATATGTCCTAATGTGACAGGTTTAGCAGTTTCGTGTATTCTTCCATAGTAATTCTCTTTCCATAACCTTTCATAACTAAAACTTATTAGGAATATTGTAACAAATATAAAAAATAAGGCTTACAATTAATTGCCAAACTATATAGAATCATGCAATCATTTGAACATTTCTTCCCCAGCTTAAACAGAAACCAAGTTGCTTTTGAATATTTCTCACCTAGCTTTGTATTTACTTAACCAAGTCCTCCCATTTGCAGTATTGTCCTCCTGCTAATGCTCGATAATACCGATCTCTACAGTAAACCGGTCTTCCATCGGCTGCCTCCGCTGCTGCCGCTGCAAGCTCGTCGTCGGCCATGACCTCAACTGGTAACCGAAGCAACTCGTCCTTTCTACAAACATATAAACTCATTGCTGAGTTGTGAAGTAGAATACAGGAAGAGGGGAAACAACAGGCTTCAACTCAATTCATTACCTTAAGTTGTATTTTTTGTTGATGATTGAATCTGGATTAACGTTGGATGATGTGCTTTGTTTTGAGGAAAGTGTGGTTTGTACAAAATCCTCCACTGGTGTAGAAAATATGAACAATAATACAGCTGAGACAAGAACAACCCCTGTTCCAACTAGAGTTTGTTTCAGCATGTTGATCACTGGTTTAACCTGTAGATATTGATTTTTTTTTTCTTTAGTTAAATGAAGATTTAGATAGTATTTCCTATTAGAATAAATTTTTTCTGAAGTTTATCATATCGGTATTCGATAATACCTTGTAAGATCCTAACAATCTATCACGAGCCAGAACCTACAGTGAAAATGAGAAATTAGAATATATTCAAGAGGACAAAAAATATCCCCAATGCAAACAAGCTACAAAAGAACATCTAGAACAGCCATTAGAAGACTATAATTACAAACAAAAGAACATTTTGTTGTAGAACACCACCAAGAAGCAAAAAACCGCACACTCGAACCGAAAGGCTCAAATGGCGAAAACTTATCAATTCTTTGATTTCTTTCCTTCCAAAGAATCCAGAGAAGATTAAATGAACTCCACACTCAAAACTAAAGCCAACAGAAAGGGTGGTAAATTAAAAAGAATTAGCATATTCTTAACAGTCCCCTCACAACGCACACAAGGCCGAGCAAGTGAATTACTATTTGAAACGGAGAGGAAATAACATTGCAGCGATGACAACTCTAGAGCGAAACCCAAAAGTTTAACGTGATAAGTTAGAGAAAATCGAAGAATGACTCGTCATCAAAATTAAGGTTTATCATTTAAATTGAACAAAGGCATGTAATGATCCAACAATCGGACTCACAAAGAATGCTTAAGATACACATGAAAACTTGCCCCACATGGAATAATAAATAAATAACTCAACCAAATTTCTTGTGCGTTAGTAAATGAATAACCAATCCACATTTTTCAATACTCATATCATCATACATTTCAGGTTCTTTCACAAAAGAATTCATCAATTGAAATACAACAAAGTTTGAGTGCCTACTATTAAAAGCAAAGGCAAAAACAAAGCATGTCGTTTAAATTTTGTAGCTAAAGTGAGAGGAAGAGTGAAATAATGAGTTTGTAGTTAAGAGTAACTTACCTCAGGGGGTTTAACCCACATTTGGCCGTCATACCATCCACTCTCTTCGTAAGGTATGACTGCCGATAACAGCCTATCTCCCACGTAACTCCAACCCTGAAACCACAATCCCATCTACGGTTAAACTACCAATAGACTAAAAGTTTAGGCTATAAATTATGATAATGTTTGTTCTTTTAAGGATATTTTTGAACTCTATCCTCTATTTGTAGGCTTGAAAATTAACATAAACACAGCAAGTGAATTATTGAATGAAGTGACAAAGAAATGATTATTTCACCCAAGCCAGAACTCCAATAATCAATAATGGAAGAACTTGCCAGATATATCCTCAGGACAATCAAGGAGACGAGGAGAAGGGTTCCAATTCCAGCAGCAAGCACAAATCGCAAAGGTTCCTGAAACAAACAAAAAAGTAAGCACAGAAAGATTCAAAGCATTCTTCAAATTCAATATTATTAGATTGGATGATTAGTTGGTTAGGTACCCTTGATGGATTGAAGCTTGCGGCTGCAACGGGAACTCCTAAGACCGTGAAACTTACCAACCAAAGCCCTCCAAGGCGAAGGAAGAATGGCCCAGCTCCCAGCTCCCCCCATGAATACAATGCAGAGTCTTTTAAAGATGAGTATTCATTCACCTGCACTCCCACACATAATGCTTCTAAATCATCCACCTTATTCAATGGGATTCAATTGAATTTCATCCGTTTGATATTATAAGTTTCAAGATTTAGGCTCAATTTGGTTCCTGTGATTTGGCTACATCTTCTATATTGGTCTCTATGATTCAAAAGTTTCAATTTCAACCCTATAGAATGATAAAACTTCTCAAATAATAGTCTTGTCCTTGTCATTACTACATTAAATCATTTTTCAGTAACATGGTTGAGACACCTCCTCTTTTATCTTTCCTTTCTTTTTTATTTTATTTAAGGTTTTCAACTGTAACAAACAATTTCCGAGATCTTAGCCTGGTTTTACGAATAAAAAAGAATGGATGGGTGTAGCTAAAATATTTGAATATATAGAGTTTGTTATTAAAAAAGTTATTCATCACTTCTTTAATGATGTCCATTAGTTTAATCAATAACACAGTGGATGGTAATGAACTACAGTTATATTAATCACTAGTTGATAGCTATGTTAATCATTAATTAATAGTTATGTTATCTCAACTAAATAGATTAAAGCATAAACAAGCAAGCTCAACTAAGAGGTTGGTAGAGATTCCTCCACGCCAGATGTTAAACTTTTAATACAAAAAAGTTCTAGCAATTATTTTTGCAGCATTCTATTCCAATTAGGCTAGATTAGCAACTACCCACAATATAAAATGTTTAAAAAAATGAAAAGCTGTTTATTAAGCCTTAAATATTATTAATTCGAAGAACTAATCCAGTGTGTTTCTAAACCAATGATTTTAAGCACTTCGAAAAAGTAGGAATAATGTTGTTATTCCCATCTACTCTACTTTTTGATTCTCACTCTTACCCATAAGAATGCTCATGAGTTTTGACAATGTTTATCCCAAGATGAAGCAGAAGAATGTTTCATCTCTCCGAAATTCGAAGAGAATTATGAATATGCTTATGGAAATTCGAAACAGAGAAACGGCATGAACGCTGAATATTTTATAGAAAACTATCCATACCGGCCGTTGTTCAAAAGGGACTTCAATTTCCAAACCAGGGTCCCATTTCTGGCCGGGAAATCTGCCGCCGGCGCCGTCTTTCTGATCATCCTTCAAGGCTTTGGCTAAAACCCTTCGATTCAGCCTCCGATTTCGCCTCAATCGGATCACCAGAGACGGCCCAAATCCAAAGCCAGTCCTCACATCTCTGCCTTCTGGAATCAGAGAGCAGCAACTGCTGCAGTACACATTCAGCCGAAGCATCTACTTGTGTCTTCTCCGAAAGCAGTGATTCTCGGAGAAGAGAAATAGGTGCGACCCATTGGAGATTTGGGGTTTTGGAAAAAGATTTGTGGGTGCGTGGATTGTTGTGAGCCTTTCGTGGGATTCTGAGTCGGATTATCCCAATTTCTTTTGGTTTTTCCTTAATTTTTTGTGGCTGCGAATTGGGGTTTTGCGGTTTGCAAGAGGCGTTCCTTCGCTCACCATGTGGATGCTGCCCCTTTGCACGCTGCTGCTTGCGTTTTTCTCAGGCTCCGCGCGAGGGTTTGGTTTGTTTGGGCCTTTTCATTCGGCTCTGTTGGACCGTTTGGTTCGGTTTATTTATTGGACCCAATTACTTGTTTGGTTAAGTAATTTTATTTTATTCCATATACTTTTAAATATTTAAGTTTAGGCTTTCTACTTTGAATACCATTTTAATTTTAAATTAGTCTCTATTATTAATTTAAAGTTAATTTTTATCAAAATTATTTAAATAATAATAAAATCACCTTTGGAAACTTTAAAAAGTTTTAATTAATTTCAGACCAAAATTGAATATTTAGAAACATTTTAAGATATTATCTTAGTTTTTTTATTATAAGAGCATATTTAGCCTTAATTCATATAGGATTCCACATGTCCCATACTACTCGTGTCTGAACATAAGCTAGTGATACTTTCTGTTACTAGATTCGCACCATTTAGGGTGCAACACTCCAACGCTTCATCTAGCAGCACGATGCTTGTACTATTTTTTCACGATTTAGGCTGTTCCCATTACACTCACCATTACTACGGGAAATAGAATTTCTAGTTCTACCCATGGAAATGTTCGTGGTTGGAGAAAACGTTTTTGCTTTATCATATCAAGTATATATGCTAGAAACATTTGTCACGTTATGTGATGCGTTTGTTTTGTGCAATTCAAACAAACCCTCTTGTTTAGTTTGAGAATTTCAATGTTATAGAATCCAACCGTCTGTCTTTAAAATGATAATTGATGTCTTATCTATTAAGCTATACTCGAATTAACCAAACAAAATATTTGTACAAGTGTTTTTTTATTAGTCATATACATTGAGTTTAGTACCCAATCTCGTAGTAGCTCCAACTTCAAACCATTCAAAACGTGTTATACTCATTTCGATCCCGAGCCAAATTTCTCAGAAGCTATAGGCCTATAAGTTAAATAAGCTTAAAATCAACACAAAATTAACAAATTTATTTTTAAATTTCTATTTTTGTAAAAAAAAAAATTGATCCACTTTTTCTGCTTCTTGTTTGCAGAAAATTCCCAACATTTGTAAATAACTTTCGGAGCAAAAAAAAGGATTCTTTATTCTTGTTTTATTTCCCAACATTTCACTGAACGATTCTATTTTTTTTATTAAAAAATAAAGTTACCACGACATGCATGCCATGTCTCTGATCTAACCTAACCGTTACAGTTTAAACATAAATGCATTTACCTTAGCTTCTGTTCCATGACCTCTATACGATATCATCATTCGTATCAGGGTGTCTTGAATATTCTAAAAAATACTCAGTAAGTACTCCACTATTGAGATTAGAAAATGCATACACAAACAATTATGATGAGACCCATCATTCATAGAAACATTATGGTATGACCTTGGGCACTGCTTTCTAAACCTATATAGGGTTGGATCTAGAATACTTCCTCACACATGGTTCATGCATGCACACCGTGGACCCACCAAGTAGGTTTGTATATGTACCCCTAAGTCTAACTCATCAAGCTAGTGCATACTCACATTGTTAGACACCACGGAGGAAAAAAACTCACATAATATCATGGCAAAGATAGATATTGTAAAGTACGCATCCCTACTAAATATAACAGGGAAGTATCATGATGCACGTGTCATACAAAATGCATAAGGTCCCACAACATTAAAATATAACATATATTCATGACATTAGTCATACCTCTATTATTTTCCTTGACCTAACGTCCCTACGAGAAATACATATTTGATCCTTGTCATAATGTTCACGATTAACCTACATGATTTTTTAATTGTCTCATAGGTTTAGGGCATCCGTATTAATACAATTTACATGTGTGGTATACGGAAATGCATACATCAATTAACAGTGATAACATAACAAAATCTCTACTCTCTTTCTCAACAAGAAAATATATCAACACCTTTCTGTTGTAATCATCAATAAAACTTACGAAATATCTCTTCTTACTATTAAAAAGAGGTTTGATGGGTCCACAGATGTCTACATGTACCAATTGCCGCCTTTGTGTTGCTTTCCCACCATGCAATCAGTGGCATATTTTAGATGATGCCTTCAATTGGGGTAACCGTATCACCATTTGCTTATGTTGCAATGTTCTCAAACCCTTGAAACTTAGATTACCATATCTACGGTGCCAAAGGTGAGTGTTGTCTTCTAAAATTGTGACATGATTCTTGAAAGTAATATGAAAATCCTGCTCATTATTTCTTCTCTCTTCGAGCTTACCATAATTCACTTCCTTCTCCCGTTGAGTACACTCATATCTAAAATGTTCTAATTGATAACATTTGTAACACTCCACTGTAGCTTTGTTGAATGGATGTCTACCTCTGCCTCGAAAAACTTCACGAGCTCGATCACCTCCTCTTCCACCGATTCTATTATCGTATGTCACATTTAGTGCTTGTTCATCACCTACACGTCCATTCAGTCTTTGCTCATGTACCAACAAGCTGTTTTTCAATTCATCGATAGTTAAAGTGTCTAGGTTATTAGACTCTTCAATCAAACATATAGCGTAGTCAAACCTTGAAGTCATTGATCTCAAGATTTTTTCAATAATCACCATTTGTTTCATGTTTTCCCCTTGAATTTTCATCTTATTTGCAATAGTGAGTGCTCAAGCAAAATATACATCAAAATTCTTACTTTCTTTCATCCGTAGGACCTTAAACTTCTTTATAAGAGCTTGAAGTTGTGCTCTTTTGACTCTGGTAGAACTCTAGTACTTCTGCTTCATAGTCTCAATTTTGTTTGGCAGTATTTCTATTAAGGATTAGTATTGTTTCCATAATGGTTCAATCAATGACTTGGAATAGGTAACTCTTGACCTTCAGGTCTTTCACCTTTTGATCTACAATTATTTTTTGTTATGCTTCGATAATCTCTCCTTCTTCTACTGCGGCAAGGATTCCAATCTCCACCAAAGACCAATATTCGTTTGAGCGAAAAAAAATTTCCATAAGCATATACCAATGATCATAATGACCATCAAACTTAAGAATTGTGGATTGAATGAAATTACTATAGTATGGTATGGTAGTTACTAAGGTAAACTCTCTTTTTCAGTAGCTCAATCATAGTAATTCCAAAGTTAAGCATATTTGACTTAAAACACTCATACGTTAAGTGATCTCTAAGAATTTTCTTGTCGATTTGTAAATACAATTCCCACTATGACAAGTTCAAAAAAAAAAAGTAAGCTGACATGGTAAAGTTTAAACTTAAAACCATGTAAGCAACGTGCAGGGTGAATGGTCGAAGTATATATCTTAAAGTTCTAGATCTACCAATGTATAGACCTGAATACGAGTTATTGTTTAAAGTTAGAAAAAGTTCGAAACTCGAAAAATGTAAATTAGTTAAATTAGGAACTCGAGAATGAAAGACGAGCGTGTAGAGAGTAAAAAAAAAGTATAAACATTAAAGAAGAGGTAAGGAATAAAATATAGATAGGCGTGTGTGAGAGTGGGTGAAATTTGAGGGGAATACAAATTTGACAGAGAATTGCAGAAACTTGTGGTTCGTTGGGAATACAAATTTAAATGTCATGCCCTGTGGTTGAATGTTTTGTGTATTTGTGTCGGGTGATTCACTATTAAATTTTAAAATATATTTTAGTCTTTGTATTTTTAAAATAAGCGACCATCAACAGTCATTTTATAAGAGTATATTGGTTCGGAAAAATCTTTCGAACCAACCCAAAAGTTCAAGTTGGTTAGATGGGTGACAATTTACTGTTAGATAAACACGACTCTCCACAATGGTATGATATTGTCACTTTGAATATAAACTCTATTATAAACTCATTATCATTCTCTAAATTAGTCTAATGTGGTACTTTCATCATCCAATATTTACCACTTTAATTATTTAAAAGTAGAGCAGGATTGGGTTTGGGTTAAGTAGTAATTCTAATTTTAAATTAATTTTTATGATGGATTGAATTTGGAGTAAAATCATAAAATAGAAATTAAATAATAATAAGAAGAAAAAGGTTTATTAGTTAGAATAAAAATTTGAAGAGGGAAGGCAATGGACCCACCGCCCCATACGGCTGCTCCTCCCATCGCCGGCAAGGCGTGCTGTGTACATGAGAGAGTTTGGGAGAGATTCCCACCTCACCTCTCATCCTACCTATCACCCACATATTTCTTTTCCCTTCCAACTTTTTCTTTTAATTATTATTATTATTATATTCTCTCACACATACACATCACCATGTGACCTTTATAATTACACCCATACATTAACTAATTCCATTTTTTAATTTTATTTATAACTAATTAATAAAATATCTATTTTACACTCTAATTTTATTTCATAAATAAAAAATTAATGGATTTTTTTTCTTTTTTCTTTTTTTAGTGCTTGGTGTTGGAAAATCCAAATCCTTTATTTTATTTTATTTTATTTTATTTTATTTTATTTTATTTTATTTTATTTCATTTTTTAATTTCTCCCCCAACAAACAAGGATCTGATTTGTAAGTGCACCTGTGGGTCCCACTTATCCTGACACCACTTATAATTCTCATGGAATTTTCTTTTCCATTTGCAGTTTACACCCTCCCCCCTATAATTTATCACAATTGCCCCTCAACCCCCATACTTTGTGATTATTATTATATAACCCCAATACTTAATTCATTATGTCTACCTTCTTCAACACCTTCTTATTCTCATTTAATACCCATCAAATAAATTAATCAAATTCACAATTTTATTTATTTAAATTTTTGGATTTGATATAATAAAATTATTAAATTACGAATTTAATTTCAATAATATATGAAATAATGAAATGATTTCGACAAGGACTATTTAAAAATTAAAAAAAAAAAAAAAAAAAAAGACAAAATCAGATCATGTGCTAAGAAGTTTTGATTTTATTTATTTTATTTAGATTTATTCTATTTTTTGAGCTCTAGAGGCAACCCAAGAGGTACACAAATCTCGTACGTCAGCATCCATTTGTCGGCGCATCACCTGTATTCCACTTCCATTTTTTTTTTATTTTCTTTTATTTTTTCTTTTTAGGAAATATTTTTATTATCTTATCTTTCTTAATTTATATCTTATATTTTATCTTATCATTTGTGTATGAATTCGACGTGTTACATTTTTGTTATTTAACCTAATTTATAATACATTATAGTTTATTAGCTTTATTATATAGTTTTTACTCAGTTTCTTAATTTGATTTTCTTTCTACGATTAATAAAACGAACTACTTAATCTAAACAAATCTCAATTTAGACGTCAAATTTTCATTATTACATATTGATTTTTTTTTAAAAAAAAAAGTTAAATTAATAAAAACACCCTTCAATTATAAGTTGGGTAAAAAAAAATACCTCTAAATTTTTAAAAGCGTCAATAATATTCTTAAACTTAAAATAAAAACGGCAACCATTCTTTTTTTTTAATATCCACAAACTTTTAATAGTTTTAAAAAATATGTTTAAATTTAAAAAAGTTTTGTTGAAGCTTTTGAAAAGTTCTAAAATACCCTTACCATTAATACTATATTTAAAAAATAAGATGAATTTAAAACTATTTACCGTTATAAAAAACAAATCTTATTTTAAAATGTTTATTATTATTTTATTTTTTTTCAACTTGAGTTGGATTGAATTTCTAGAAAATGGAAAAAATCATTTAGGGTAAGAGTTTGACGGGTCCAAAAAATAGAATTACAATGCAATCTTAACCTATTTTTCAAGATTATTAGGAATATTAAGAATATTTGTGCGGTGGATAAATAAATTCTTTTTAAATAATTAAAAAAAACGGACAACTTAATCCATCCGGTTGGATTGTGAACTTAGGTAACTAATCCAACATCTTTCGAAAGATTTTTCCAATGAAATGGAATAGGTTCGTGATTAAAATTAAAAATTAAATAGATATATAATTAATTAAAATAGGAGTAAAAGTGGATGAAGAAAAAATGAGAAAAAGAATGTATAAGAAGGGACATGACAACTATTAAGATGTAATAAACAATTACAACACCCCATGTGACCAACCTTAAATTAAGGTACAGGGTAATTAATCTGTGTCTTAGTTTTACATACACTTAATTATTTTTTTATTATTTTATTTTTATTTTTATTATTATTTTCAGACCAAACATCCCTCTCACATTTCCCAAATCCTAATCTACTCAAATAATTAAATAAATAAATAAATAAACTGTTTTTTTTTTCATTTAATTAATTAATTTTAAATCTCCTAGCTTATATATATATATATATATGAGAATGGAGCAGCTGGTAAGATTTGAGGAAGCTGTTGTTTGTCACTCTCTCTTGCTTGCATCTCATTTCTCTCTTTCAGGTTTTTTTTTTCTCTCTCTATCTCTAGTTTTCTTCCGGGTTTTTTCTCGAAATTTTCCTTTTTTGTTCTTGTTACCGGTTGAAACTGAGATACGAACACTTAACTGATTCAAGAGTGTTCATATGACTCGGTAAATTGATGTAACCTCGATTATTTTTATTATTATTTTTTTTTCATGAATTTTTTAAAAGTTGAAAATTCAGTTCAAATAGTCTATTAACATTTTTTTTTTTATTGGGTTAGCCTAATTAACTCGAAATATTTTTTTAAAAAAATAATTAACTTGGAAATGTTTGATATTCCAATTTTAGTTATTAATTTTATTTTTAAAATAGAATAATCTGAATGTAATTTTTCTTTCTACTTGATTTAATTCATTAATTTAACCATCAACTTTTTTTAAATGACAGTAGATGTTTTATTTATTTTAAAACAAAAATATTTTTTTAAATAAAAGTAACAAAATAAAATGATATATATTTATTTTATTATTATTTGGCCAACACAATTATGAACTATTTATGATGAAGATATTTTCGTACGAGAAATTGCAATATTGTGGACCAAAAAAAAAAAAAAAAAAAAAAAAAAAAAAAAAAAAAAAAAAAAAAAAAAA